AATACCGTTACATGACGAACAAAGAGCCAGGTTAATTAAGTCGAAGCCGGTCCACCCCGAAATAAACAAATACACGACTTTCCCCACTAATTAGATGAAAGACGGTCGCAACGTTATAAACAATCCCCGTGTCAAAGGAGCGACGCGACACGTAAAGCTAGAGTAACTCAGCCAGTACACGTATACTCTTTAAAACCGAGCATTGTAACAGAGGAGTATACTTGTCGGAAAGTTTCCCCGTGACTCCCTCCATAGAGAATTTTCCTTCAAACAAATTACCGTAACTTCGCCGTACAAAAGGGAAGTTCGCAAAAGTACTTTCAATATTTCCTTTCGCAAGCGGCGGAACGTTTTAATATTAGTTCTTTTTTTCTTACCCTTCCGCCGCGGTAAAGGTTGCCGAAATACAAAAAAGAAAAAAAAAAGAAGAAATCCAAACAAAATAGAAAGAAAAACGTTAAACAGGAAAGCCTGTCCGTTAAAAGTTTCACTTACAAACGAGCGGCGGTCGCGGAAATCCGCGGCGGCGCGATGGGATTAATTAAAATTTTCGGAAAACGCGTTCAGCCATGAAATTTCCATGACAGCATCGAGGTGCCGATGTTTGTAGCAGGGTCGCGCGCGGCCATGGTAACCGGCATCGGCGGACATTACCGCGGAAAAAAAGGTTTACCCATGTTATAGCACAATTATGAGCATACACGGAGTCGTGCTCCTTGCGCTGTGCATACAAATCGCGCGGAACAAAAGGGTACGCGATGCCGCCGTGCGGACGTTAATCAGCTAATGCTAATGCGACGAATCCTTTTTTCCCCGACGAGATCAAGAGTTAGATGAACAACGGGTTGATGTTTCGGCGCGCCGAGCGTCACGCGACCAAAGGGACATTCGTTAGTGTGATTGGATAGGCTGCCGCGGTAGATGTTACTGAGAACAGGGGATGTTTCTGTAAGTTTGATTCGTTAAGCCCTTCGAATGAGGTATTACAGCATTGCGAAGTATTAAAAGAAGTTTTCGTGAGAAAAGAAATTATGTGTAAAAATGTCGTTTGATTCGTTAAGCTTTTTGAATTAAGTAGTAAGCTTTTTTGTCAGAAAATAAATGATGTGTAGAAATTTGGTTTGATTCGTTGATCCTTTCGAATGAAGCATTAAAGTATTGCGAAGTATTGAAAAGCTTTTCCATAAGAAGCTGAAATAATATTACTATAGACGGATCCTTTATTATTCACCTAATTAAGTTACCTGCCCGTTGTTTGGGATTTGAAGCATCAAAGATGTTGACGAAACTGTGGTATTCGGTTTCACAATTTGAACATTTGGGAAAGGTTTAGTGTGAAATATGTAGGAAGAACATTAATTGTATTGAAAATACATTAAAACGGAAATGTCTTTTATTTTTGTCCGAAGAAATTTACAGTAACTAAATTTTGATCAATTCACCTAGTAATTTATCGAGTGAGCGAAATTTTCTTATAATTCACGTAACAGTTGTAACGAACCATACTTGTTTATTTCGTTTCAATAATTTTGTTCGACCCTAAGGTGCTCTAGATGCTGACGCAGCCATCAACGTGTTAATTATTTCGTTCCTCAACATTCTCCGTGAAGTATATATTTAATAATATTTTACGTTTTCAATTATAAGCTGCTTTCTGCTTCGTCCGAGCACCACTAGAAAAGCGTGGGAAACACAGCAACTCTGCGAGTTACGCATACAAAACAGTGGCTCTAATTTGTTTCATTCAGCAGGTACAAGTACTTATAGGAATATTACTAAGAACTTACCTTCCATTTGTATTTACACTAGAAGTCCTCCTTAAATAAAGTTTGTATTTACACTATTCTCACTAGTCACGTAACTAGGGGAATTTTCGCGAAACCACAATTATCTACGGAAGATTATACGGATCACAGCAGAAAAACCATAGATATATTAACGTGTAATAATAAAAATAATAAAAAGAACACAATGCGACGGAAACAAGCAAAATGAAAGTATCGCTAAACGAGAGTGAAAGTATGGACGAAAAAGCTCGAGTACTTGTGCATTTCCAAAGCACAACGACTGCGTTTGAAACTATAATATTTCGTGCCCGAAGAAAATATGCAAATGCAGTGAAACTTCTTCGTTCCAGGGAATCTTATTAATTCAGAATACGCTATTTCAAACTAGTGTGCCACGCCCGAATTTCTGTTCATCGTGGAATCAGTCGGGATCAGTTAGTTAGGTCATTGACACTTTATGTTCAACGAGCACTCATTAGAGATTTCATTCAGCATTTCCACTTTTGATTCTTAAGAATTGAGAATTCAAAGTTTTACAAACTTGACACACAAATGAAGCATCGAAGAATATTCCACGAATCTATACTTTCTTTTCCAATTGTTTATTGAATAATTATAGTTTATTGAGTAAAAATATTCTCCATTTGAAGAATATGCTAATTGAATTATTTGAGAAAAGTATTTCAGAAAATCCTTTTTACTGGGAAAGATTTATTCCTCTAAGTTGTTTAAATATTACATTTCTTAGAGGTCTCTTATGTCACTGAAAATAATGTAGATGTGTTAAATTCTAGACTTAAAATTAGATGACTCATATATATATATATTCTTACGTGTATATGAGCAATTCATAAAGCAAAATAGTTGACTTCAAATTTTTACTGAGTTCTAGTAAAGATTCGTGTAATTGTTTCCTTGTTGTTCAACTTATTGTCGTTTAGTTTCTGATGATTTTTAAAATCTCTTTTCCTCGCAATGTTTTTAAAATTTCTTCACAGTTTCTATGGGACGTGTATAATGTTTCTAAACTTTCACAATTTTCTCTTTAATCGCTCTCTTTAGCTTCCGTGCGCCTTAATTACTCCCTTCGTTTGTCCTTGAACAGTTAAACTTCCGCAGGAAAAACAAATTTGGAACTCGACCAAGATCCCGAGCAGTAAAAAATCCAGCATATGTGTGCGAGAACATTGCGAGCCGCGCAGTGGAGGAGAATAAATTCTGATGTTACGTGGACTAAAGTCGAATTCCGTAGTGAACGTGTAATAGTTACAGCGGCATTCGATTCTACTTGAATGTCGCAGTGTAAAGATGAACATTTTGATGTTCTCAGATTCTATTAGGAAATTCATTGTACTGGCGATATTCTCCGGTAATTGTCACGTTTGATAACTGTGAGGGCGAAGGCACTTACTCTTTGCTTTGAAAGTGTTAAAATATAATATTCAATTGTTTGTATTGTTTAGAAATTATTTTGACTGCCAGCTAAGTTATTTAGAAGTAATTATTAGGAGTAATTATTTAGAAGTAATTGTTACGAGCAATTATTTAGAATTATTACAAACAATTCTGTAGATATAATTGTTACGAACAATTATTTAGAAGTAATTATTGCGACAAATTATTTAGAAGTAATCATTATGAACAATTTTGTAGATGTAATTATTACGAGCAATTATATAGATGTAATTATAACGAATTATGTACAAGTAATTATTACGAACAATTGTGTAGAAGTAATTTTGTTCAAATATAGGCACTTAAGAAATAATCTTTGGTTCTTAAAAATGAGTACTTTAAATTGTTAGGTTAAGTCAAATATGAACGACGTAATAAAAATCGATCATCTGTTAATTAGAATAAGATAAGATTATGAAGTATTCGAATACTTCAGCTACTTTGAACTTAAAAACTTCTACTTTGATTAATTGTGTTAACAGTTATCTTTTGTTCGAGAGTTTTCCGAAATGAAAAAAAAAGACGAAAATGTGGCAATTAAACGGGAAAGTTGCGTTTCTCTTAAGTAAACGACCCCTTTCATCTTTTTGTCTAAAGATTGAAAAGTTGGGTTAGAAAAGGACCAAGTTAACAGGTGCAAAATCTTATCAGGCACTTGCATGCAAAGTTTCAAATCGATTAATCGATCGTGCCTCGAGTTATTACGCTCGCCAGAAAGAAGAAAGTAGTTTTAAGAAGAATCGTCTGATTCATATCGTTTAAAGTGAGGCAACTTCCTAAATTTCTCGAATATCCTCACTCAACTCGATCCACAATATTTTCGAAGCATCAACCTACAAAAACACACGAGGAAACGTAAATGTTTGTAAACTTTCAAATTGTTATTGTCCCTTAGACCTTTGCTTGTGGAGCAGAACCATCAATAACGTTTCGTACAGAATGTCATAACTTCAACAATTCTTTCCATTTCTAAGTTGTATTTGCTTTACAATACTTCTGCGCCATCAAACTATAGAAATTTCTACAAGAAACTTGAAGTCTTTCAATATTTAAGAATCTAAGAATTTAACAGCAGCGTAAATATTCAAGAAACTACATAGAAATATTATTTTCATTTTATAAATATTTAACTCTTACAATAAACACTCACATGCTATAAATATACTTACTTCTCCTGCTAGAAAACGTTAGTCACAAGATAACAATAGCAAACCTAATCTTCTCATGCATATACAGGGTGTAACTAAATTGTTGCGCGCAAATGATTCAAAACTCAATAGTTTCAGAATCAACAGCACCGAGTTATTTCGGAAAGCATCAGTGAACAAATGTGTCAAACAAAAGTTACACGGTATGAAACACTACATGTCAAGGCGAGAGGTATTTGACCATGACTTTGACACATTCTGCAGACACCTAACAATTTTTAAATAGAACCCTGTATTTTCTATTCTACATTTTTGAAGTCAACATTCAGACGTTTCCAAACCAAAGACATGAAATTTTTCAGGTCGTTATCAAGATATCAGTATTCAAAGTCTTTTTACTCAATTTAGTCAGTAGCACACGTGCTATTGTTTGTGCGTAACAATTTTGTTACACCCTATATGTATAAATAATCATGTAAGTGAAAGCAAGGTTGCAGTGATGCGACAGTAAAGAAGAGTAAGGGAAGGAATCATTGTAGAAAGAAAGTCAGTGGAGAAAGGAAGATCTACTACCTAAGTTGCAAACCATCAACCGAGCAAACGAACTAACCTCCTCGGTAGGGCCTGGCAGAAAATGTTCGCGGGCCTCCTGCAACAAAAACATATACAAATCATAAAAAACCATAATCGAGTGAAATGTATGTACTATAAATAACGATTTTCAAGTAAAGTTCACGTGAATTGAATTATTAATTGTGGTCCATAAATAACGTGAATATCTACATAGACATAGGTATATCATGAAACCGTAATTTTTGTCCTAGATAGTACCATCAAATCCTTAAATTCTATAAAGTCAATATTTTCACCGCAGTATAATGACTTCAGATGACGATTTTGAATTCTTAAGAAACACGCGACATAGAATAAGTAGAATTCTCTTTTCATCGGATTATATATTACTGTTAATTTGCCATCGGTGACCCCTAACCAAATTGATTTACTATAGTTCACTCAATTAAACGATGATTATTTGAAAACATTTCTATATTATGAATAATGCTACTTAATACGGTAACATTCAGCTAGAACGCACACTAACAATAATGGAAATCAATCAGATGATTAAATATTATATGTCCTTCGTTTTATGAATTTTTCTCCACGAAATCATACAGCATTCAACGTGTTAACACTCTGTACTCAAGAAGCGACTCCCAATCGCTAAGTGATTTGTAAACTCTAATATTTATCATTAATCATTATTACTGGGAAATATTGAAAGAAAATAGCTTGACTTCCTAATTTACGCATGATTCATTGATAAATTAATTTTAAGAAATCTTGTCTACATCTAACTAGAAATAACTATTGAACATTTCAAGTGAAAAATTTTGAGTGAAAATGATTATAGAATTTGTTTGTGTTAACATTTCTTCAGTTCTGACTAGAGAGAGCAGCATTCTTGCCAAGCATGTTACAAGCCAAGAGGTTAAACCGACCATAAGTGGCTTCGCAATCAGTTGCGATCGAATTTTTCGAAGTAGAATACGTTTACGCTCGCGCTTGAACTTATTTATGTTACGATCCAATAAGTTCCATACGTTCCGAACTGGTATCGGGCAAATCCGCGAGAACGATGATTCGTTTCGCGAGTTGGCAAGCAAGACCTGAAACTGGCCCGATCCGTTTTCAGTGTTCGAACGAAATGGAACGTTAAGGTCTTGTGTTTCTTCGACTACATTCATCCCGATCACCGGTATCGGGCGAAACTGCGGAGAATAACCGGGAAACTGGTGCGGGTAATATTTCATAAGCGTGAAAGTCGCCGAGAATTGAACGGTCGTTGCATTGTTTGCCACCCCCGCGACCTATCACGCGGTACACCATTCTCGAGAATGTTCCGTTTCAAAGGAACATGCTCGTGCCTGGTAATTAGCGGGTTAGACGAGTTCAGTTGTATTCAACCTTTCCTTTTTATTTCAGCGCCCTTAAGAATAAGGTGCCGGGAACAATTGCTACGCTCGGTTTACACTGGCTAATTATTGTCGTTGTCGGTAATCACTTCGATCGAGCATTAACACGTTGATCGTTATGAGAATTTAGAGCGGTTTGTATAATATTACTTGTCGTATTATAGTAAGGAAAATGGTATTAGAATTAATTAATGGTTTGGTAATCATAGTTCTTAACCCCTTTCTGTAGAATGAGTGAGACTCGCGATGAAGATTTTTAGACTAATTTAAGACCAATGTTGTTCGTTACCCACGGATCAAAGCAAACTCTTTTGCTAGTATCAATGTATTATCTTCAAATGAAATGTCCACTTGAATACAAATTTTTTGACAGATATCGTAGTTCGTAACCCTTTGCACTCCAGAAGTGTTTCACTGGAAATATATATTTTCTAATGAGATACAGTCGATATTCTCTGAAACTAACAAGAAATGGCTCGTAAATCGAGGAACAAAACTCTTTTATTTCAATATTTCACGTATTGAGGCATTATACAAAGTTTAATAGTAAAGGCGCCTCCAGAGTGCAAGAGGTAATATTAAAACTTCGTTAACCTCTTGCACTCGAGAATATTTATCTCGACAAACCTTCATTATTTTCTGATCAAAATGAATGATATGTTTTACAACATATCGAAATATCTTGCATAAATTAAGAAGTGACAGGACTATTTTATTCCGATGTTTCACGTGTTGATACATTATATAAAATTTAATATTGAATTGTAAATTTGATCATTTCGTTCGGCCAAATCCGATGGCGAGTAAAAGACGCCTCTCGAGTGCAAAGGTTTCGATTTTATAGAAAGATATGCTGCACTGTGTTTTGCATAAATATTCACCGTTTCTTGCAACGTGAAACTGCTAGCGATCTTGGAAAAATTCACTGGCTTCCTCCCGTTTCCGTTTCACTGTTCTTTTTTATTTGATTCTATTAGGAAATATCGAATACGAGGAATCTCTCGAACGCGAACGGGGCGAAATAAATTTTCGACGCTGGAACACATTGGATAATTTTGTCAGTCGCCGCGTGATAATCGGACGAAGGGGATTCACTGTAACGAAACAGTGGCGAGCGCGGACGTGGGACACTGCGATCGCATTAGAATACAAGATCAATAAATTTTCCCTCCGCACGCATATTACATGTGAACGCTTTATTAAATCTAGGATCTGGGCAATTTTAAATGCTCCTGAAAATGAGCGAGTATGAAATATGTTGAAGTGTTGAAGCTGGAATTCTATCGTTCTACATGTATAAATATTTTGCTTGTAATTTTATTCATAATGGTATTATGATGTGTTAATGATTAATAGAAGGAGGATCATTCGGAATTGGATACTCTATATTCGCCTAACGAATAATAATATAAAAGCAACTTGCATACTAAATCCCTGTTAAAATTGCAAGATTGTGGCAATTTTTCTTAATATTAATTGGTATTTTGCTACTTTTATTTATTTCGGTTGGAATGCTTGCGATTAACACGTTAAGCGGCACGAGAATCTTGAATATTTTATACATGATCTGCTCTTTTCTAACAAAAAGTAAATATACACAATTATTAAATATTTGCCATCAGAATTCATACATTACGCTATTGCTAACTTATTTGTGTTACTAAATATTTTCAGTCGACAGCAGTCATCTAGCATATTGTAATATCTGTCAAGCAATTCAGAAGCGTCGGTCATCGGTGACCGACGCGGCATTTAACGTGTTAATGTAACATAAACAGACATCTAAGTGTTAGTTTATTCTGACATATATATTTGTATACTATTTTCTTTTTTTCGTGCAGCTGATATTCGTTAACTTTCGTTTGTTGTCCATGCGTTTCTCTTTTTCTCCCGTAAGTGTTTGCAACATTCTGCGCCCGGTACCTCATGGAGTGCATAAAAATTGTTGTGGTACGTTTTACAACACTATTTTGCCGTAACTGCGACGGAAGACAAACGATGTCGTAAAATACAGCTTTTATACATTTTTTGCCAAATTGTCCAGCGAGATGTTCGAAAGAGATTAGATCTTGCAAAAGGTTCGACCTGTAAATAAAATGTAATCTCTCCAGTTGATTTTCATTTGAACGATGGTATCATTCGACGTGTTTCATTTATTTGGTTTCAATTGATTACTTGATGAAGTTTCTTTTTGGGAATATTTTATTGCGTCCGATGTAATTCTGTGGAATTGACGAACATTTTTATAGAAAATCAGAAACAAACGGGTACACGGTCGAATCAATGGATTAATGTTAAAAACAAAAGAGAATAACGAATTCAATGATTTCTGCTTGTATTGTTGCACCGTCACATACAGGAACCGTTTAAATAAAATTTTTGTTGCAGCTTCCTCGTTATTTTACGAATAGCGAGTTAATGAATATTTGTGTCGTTCGGTGAAATAAGATAATTTTTTGCGCGTAATTGAATAAAAGTAATTTATATCGCGTAGAGATACGCTTGTTTATTTTACGCGTACATTTTCGTGGAAATTCAATCGAATCGAGTTTTATATGAGAGTTTATAACAACTTTTAGACAATCCTAGTTATTTCTATGAACAATTTCCATTTTATAAATATCATTTATAATCCACTTTTCGTTGTTTGAAGTTTTAATTTATTGCTTTCAGAGCTTTTACAGAATACTAGCTATTTCTATGAACAGTTTCCATTTTATAAATATCATTTACAATCCATTTTTGTTCTTTAGAGTTTTAATTTATTACTTTTAGAGCTTTTACGCAATACTAGCTATTTCTATGAACAGTTTCCATTTTATAAATATTATTTATAATTTATTCTTTACTCTCTTAACAACATTACATAATCGAGTTTACGGAGCACAGTGTGATAGTCAGAGAATTAGTAGAATAAGAAGAAATAAGATGGACAGTCGCAAGACTGAAACTCAAAGTATAAAACACGTCGAACGTAAACACGCAATAAAGAAAACATCAATGTAAATAATATCATTAATAAGAAAACTCATTTACACTGTTCTCTACAATCTATTTTCCCAACTACATTTCAAATCAGTTGCAACAAAGGTGCAACAGAAATTCATAATGCAAAGAGTTAAAGTAATACAGAACCAAGGAAAAGTAAAGGCAAAACGAATGCTCGGAGTGCAAAGGTTTAAACACTGAGTGTCGCGGTCGAAGCTGAACGAACATTCGTTCGTCCGATGTAAACGCGCCGTTACACAAAACGAAAACAATCGCCAGCGTGTCGCGCGGCCCCGCAACTCCTGGAACTGCGAAATGTCCGTTCGGATTCAGGCGTTGCGTCGGCTGGCGGCCGCGATAAGGGCGCGCGATAAGGGAACGTTGAACGGTGAATAGCACCTTTTACCGTTTCTGTATTACTCCGGCATTCATTACGGCCGCGGCAGCCGGCGTGCATGGAAGATTAAGTTTCTCCATCCGACCCGCTTTGTTCGAATCCAGAATCAGAAATCGGGGTTAGTTCATACGGCCGTGGAAAGTTGATATTGCCGGGTAGTAGTGGTAGTAGTAGTACTAGTATCAGCCTGGCAACTTACGCGATCGGAATCGATAGATAATACCCGGCCGCCGGTGGTTACGGGGGCGTGAGAGAGATACACGAAAATATCACGCGGAAAAGGGGGAA